CTCAATAAAATTATTTACAAAAAAAGAAGAAAATGAACAAAATCTGGCTACCAGTTTTAATATAAAAAACTCTTAAATCGGGACAGTAAATAAAGAGTAACACCTAGAAAAAAAGGGGAATTCCAGACAGAAAACAACCAGGGCCAGCTAACACTTCCCAACAAAGGATTCTCCCAGGCAGGAAGCAGCCAGGCTTTGAAGCTGCAAGGACATTCAGTGCCAATCAAGGTGACCAATTGCAACATTCACACAACAGACAAAGAGTTCTTTCTCCCACCCTGGATCTTCCACAGATATATAAACCTCACTTGCCTAGTTTCCAACAGACCTCACAACCTCTGAAGATGCCTGCCATAGATGTGGGTGAAACATCAGGAAAGAATGCTTCTGGAACATGGCCATACAGCCTGGAAAACGCACCACAACCCATAGTGCTATAACTATGTAGTGCAAATAAACTATAAATTTTTTCTATCCTTTGGTGGCACACAAGATCTTTCTGCTTTCTGGCATTGCCATTCCTCTTTGCAGGACACCACATTTTATCTGCATTAACCCAAGCAGAATTCATGTCATTGTTTATGCCTGTTCCTTGCAGGACATACCAGCTTTTGTAAAACCAAACAACATTTTGAAGATGATGGAGGAGAGTGAGGAAAAAAGTGGGAGTTTTGAGAAAGGCATGTCCACCTTACTATTTCCCAGCACAGACTTGTAATTTGAAAATTCACAAAACCTCAACAAAGATGATTGTGGAACTGCTGGATACGGGTTCTCTTTTTCTAGTTCATTTTTAGGCGGAATATAAAAACTGCTCAAAAATCAAGTAATGTAAAGAGAGAGTATAATTATAACAGCAACCCATGCAAATTAAAACACGGAGCATAAAGGGACACAATTATGTGCTCTGAAGGTCTGAATTCAGCAGACAATAAAATGACAAGAGTGTGACAACTTTTGGGATTTCCTGGTGCAAAAGACTTCTATAGAGCAGGCAGCACAGCTTTGAAAGCTCTCTTGCATTCCTTTCCGACATGGAGATTAATCTTTGTCTGGGAATCCTACATAAAAGAGTTGCTGAAGCACCAGTAGCCCAAAATCTGTTTGGATTAATTTGATTGGAGAATCTCCTTGAAGGAATATAACAATTGAAATACTAATCTTTCTAAAGTGTGAGGTCTGCTTGGAAACGGTTCATATTCCTCACAACCTCTGAGAATGTTTGCTATAGATGTGGGCAAAACATCAGGAGAGAATGCTTCTGGAACATGGCCATACAGCCTGGAAAACTCACAGCAACCCAGTGATTCTGGCCATGAAAACCTTTGACACTTCATATTCCATTTGGTAGTGGTTATTTACTTTGTATCATGCTTGTCTTTCATTTGGGAACCGAGCAGATTATACTGTATGTCAAAATAACTAAAACAATGTATAAAACATATATATATATTAAAAAAGTTATGCACTTTCAAGTCTCGTTTGTCTCATGGCAATCTGGGTTTTTATTGGGTTTTCTTGGCAAGTTTTGTTCCGAGGCAGATTTCCTTTGTCTGAGGCTGAGAGAGTATGACTTGCCCAAGGTCACCCAATGGTGCCATCGTTGAGTGAGGTTTTGAATCCTAGTCCTCAGAGTTGTAGTCCAACCATTGCACTGGCTCTCAAAATTGCATGAAAGTAAAAAAAAAAATTAAAAAGAAACAACAATCGACTTAACAAATTAGGAAACATTAATTTGCAGATACTGGTATATTACAGAGGTAACATATGCCTAATTGTTCTGACGTGTTTTTTAAGTGTATTGCATTTCATACTTTAATTTTTTTTCTTATATTGCACATTTGTTTTTCCCTGCTGGTGCAAAGAGAACAGAGAAGGGGCCAACAAAGCCTCTCTTGGAGGGTTCATATTAGATTTCATATTGTGTTTCAACTACATTTTTACACAGTTAGAAGACTGCTGAAACAAGACTGTTTTTACTGGACTCTGCTGACTTGAAAGCCTTAGTTTTCACATTTTACAAGTTTGTTTGGGATTTTATAATCATAGGACACACACCCCAAATACATCTGGCAAAACTTGGTTGTCTTGCACTTGTATTATCATGCTGTAGATCTGAATTAATAGTCAACATGCTCTTTTAAATGGGGAGCAAATTGCTGATTGGAGGTAAGTATTCCCCAAACAAACCTGCAGCTTGTAAGTCACCAGGCCAAACACAGTCCTGCAGCTGGGTGATAATAAAGCTATTTGCAGTGCCTGTGGGGACTACAAAAGCACGTGGTTGGGTATTATAGCATAGGGCCAACTGTGGTTGGTTTAGGGGTTCTTAGAATAAGAGATAAAATGCCATTTATGACGGAATAATAAACCTCTTTAATATTTTCCAGACCCGATGGGGCACTAGTCAGTATGGTGCCTATAGGTGAATTACCAATTTGTTTTCAGAATTATATAATAGTAATATTATTATAGTAATTTTTCTCACCGCAAGTCACTTTTGGTGTGAGAGAACTGGCCGTCTGCAAGGACATTGCCCAGGGACGCCCGGATGATTGATGTTTTACCATCCTGTGGGAGGCTTCTCTCATGTCCCTGCACGAGAAGCTAGAGCTCAACAGATGGGAGCTTACCTTGCTCCCCGGATTCGAACCGCCAACCTATTGGTTGACCAGTCCTGCCAGCACAAAGGTTTAACCCATTGCACCACCGGGGGCCTCAATAATAATAATAATAATAATAATAATAATAATAATAATAATAATAATAATAATAATGGTATAGTTCTAGATCGGCCTCTCTCCCCAGAGGGACTCAGGGAGGTTTTCACATAAAAAGGTAAAAATTCAGCCCCTCAAAATGGGTACAAGCACATCAAAATAATACAGGATAATGGATAGTAACAGTAGAAATTTTTCAACGAAGGAATTAAGCATCAAAATAAAAACAGAGACAATCCACTAAGACATAAAAAAACTAAAACGTAAGTAAACATTACAATGTACGCCCTAAAAGCAAAATAAGAGACATTAAATTAAGAATGGCTGATACCGGTGCTTCATTTAAGGTGTATCATAACAGTCATGTGATGCTCTTATAGGAACAAATAATTAGGACTGGATGGGATGGAGAGTAAGAATATGTGTCACTACTTTATAGCATAGTGCAAAAACAAGATTAAACGTGTAATATATTTTTAAAGGGGAGGAATTACATTGTGCCACCAAAGATGAATACAGAAACAATGAATCAGACACAGCCAAACCACACACACACACACACATTCATTCCTGGTGTCTTGGTTTTTTAGACCCGTTCCTGAGCTTATTTGGGGCACCAATTCAGAAAACTGCATTGAATCAACACTAGTTTCTTAGATAAGGTTACCATGGTTTTTTATAGTCAAGCAGATTAAGACTGGTATATGCTATATGTTCTGTATCTTCATAACTAAAGCCAGTACTAGAAAACTGGTGCCATTTTTGGAGTCAGAAGGTCTGATATACCCAGAAATAGGTCTAATATTTGAGGCACCAAAATGCATGTTGGCCAGTGTAGTTCAGTTTTTCTAGGTAAGAATAATGAAAACCTTAACCTTAGCCTTCACCCTAAGGTTCCTGACTTCCCCAATTAAACAAATTTGGCTCCAACTCCTGTGACTTTCTAAAACTTTGGCAAAGTAAACTTTTACAAATGATAAGGATGTGTCTCCCTTCCCTGCTGCTTTCTATAGTAGTACAGTTACAACCTCAGATTTATAGGGAGATTCCCAACCAGAGTGTGACTTGGTCTCACAACATGTAAAAACTCACACACTAACATGACTGAAGACAACTGGATTTCCTTATGCAGGATACTTTTCTGATTACCAAGTGTAAACATGGGTGTGGTTTACCTACAGCCAAATGTTCTTCAAATATAACGGACATAGTTGAGCTATAAATCCTTTTACAGCCTGACTGATTATCAAATATTTCAGTTATTTATAATTTTAATATATTAGGAGCTATGGATGCAGTGTGTATGGGCCTTTGCCTCTCCAACTGTATTGCAGGCCGTCTAGCCTTTTCTCTCCACTTTCATGCCACAGTTTAACTATGAGAGTAGCATCTTCCTGCCACAGTTTAATTATAATAGTACTTTGATGGCTTGGGTAAATCCAAATATAACCCTAAAAATGGCTCTCCTGCTTCCAGATTACTCTGAGCTCATAAGGAAAGACTTGGAATATGATGGCCATCCTCTTGTATTTCCTCCCAGTTAGAACACAAGAGGCCTACTCATATAACAAATTGAGTCATATTTATAGGAAAATGGAACGACATCTTATACCAAGTGATACGGTCAAGCCGTCTACTTTAGCATTTTTTAAATCCAGGGATGAAGAGTTGTTCTTTTATAGATCTTGTTCAGTTGCAATTCTGGTGTTTATTCATTCAGTCGTTTCCAACTCTTTGTGACCTCATGGACACCAGAGTTCCCTGTTGGCCGTGGCCACCCCCAGTTCTTTCAAAGTCTAGCCAGTCACTTCAAGGATACCATCCATCCATCTTGCCCTTGGTTGGTTCCTCTACCTTTTTCCTTCCATTTCCCCCAGCATCATTATCTTCTCTAAGCTTTCTTGTCTTCTCATGATGTGGCCAAAGTACTTCATCTTTGCCTCCAATATCCTTCCCTTCAGTAAGCAGTCAGGCTTTATTTCCTGGAGTATGGACTGGTTTGATCTTCTTGCAGTCCAAGGCACTCTCAGAATTTTCCTTCAGCACCACAGTTCAAAAGCGTCTATCTTATATCTAGTGTGGGCAATTATGAAGGAGTTGCAGTCCAACATTATTGGATCATAATTGATTCATATTGGTCTCAGCAATTGGTAGTTAATGTCTATGGATTCCGGCAGAAAACTTCAGATATTACCCAAAGATGTCAGGGATTGTACTTATAGACTCTGGCAAGCAAAACATGAATGGAGAATTCAGTTACATAACAGGCCAATACAAATGTGATTTTCAATTACCATATTTTTATTTATGGCAAAGTTAGAAGTTAACAGACATCCAGTGGCCATGGTACATTCAGACCATATGTGTCTCTAATCTGTAAACCATAGCACTCTAAAATTTCCCCAGGCACTCAAATGTCCTTATGAAGCCAAAATGCCCAGGACAGATGTATCAGTAAGTCTAGAGAAACCTGAGAGTTTACAAATGCACAAAAAGCTTTTAACTGAAAAATTGTAAAGTGCAGGTAGCAAAAAAAAAAAAAGTCCCATTGACGGCTGAGTGGAAATGGAATAGTGTCTGACTGTCAAATGTTGGGTTTGGAAAAATAAAGTGGGAAAATACAATAGAATTGAGTACTTGGTAGAGAAGATGTGGGACTTGCCAGCTATACTCTAAATGTGAGCACTCCACACTGCAGTGTTAAATGACGAGTTTCATTTGTCAACAGTCTAAATACTGAATTCATTACTGAAACCTCTGTTTTGGATTGAGGCTGTGGGCACCCACAAAAATACTAGAGAAACAGTCCAAAATGCAAGCTATCAGATACCAAACAACAGCCTCCGAACAAATCACAAATACCTGTAAGGCTTTTTACGATTCAAGATTCAACAAAATTGAAAGGATTCAACAAATATGATTTGTTTCAACATAACTCAGTGCTGCACTCAGTCTGAAGGGATACTTTTAAGTCATGCTGCAATGTTAGATTTCTCAGATTTCAGTCAATTATGCTGGCTAAATATAAGTCCATGAATTCTAGGCCTCTATGATGCACAAACAAGAGTTGCCTATGGGTTTTAGACAGAAAATTTGTTACTGACTTATATGCTGGGAAAAAAGGCTTGACATTTATAGATGCTTTTAGGTATTGTGCTGGGAAAAGAAGCATTTATTGAAGAATATTTCATTTTCTCCAAAAGAACTGAAGCCAAGCATTTTGTACACCTCACACATTACAAGGGAGCATCTCAGTACTGAACAAGTCTCTTTCTGAATATTCAAAGACTACTTTTTATTTGGACCATTAAGTTGTGAAGTGTGGCATTCAAGAGTAAAGGTAACTTTCATTGTAATAATTCTTTACATAATTACTCTGATAATAAGAAATATGGAAAGAAATAAACAGTACATAGTATCCGTAATAGCAAGCAAGTATATTACAAGGCCCTGGAATAAAAAGAAAAGAAGCTGGAAGGCAGGTTGATCTTCAAACACTGTCAGCTATTTCCTTCTTCAAAGGATGAATCTTGGTAGTCTCAGTCCATTTGCTCATCATGGAAGGAATCTGCACTGTCCATATATCTTAGGAGCTTTCTGTGTTGCTTCAAACAAAGGAAACAGCATCATTTTAGCAGAACTGAATTCAAGTGAAGATTTTTATTTTTATTTGTTGACAAAGTTCTATCAAAGGGAACTACTATTCGTACCTACCGACTTTATCAGTGAACACTTTGCTTTTATAAGAGGCACAGAAAAGACACGTTTCATAGACAGCAACAAGGCAAATCATAAGAAAAGTAGAGACCGATTTAAATAAAATAAGAACTCTAGATGCTTCTTCCAATATTTCTGCCTCAGGGGCCATTTGGGGAGGGGAGGGGGGGGGGAGAAGTAACATCCAGGAAGACATCTACTTTATGAGTTGTTATGTGCTGAAGGATGCTATACTTCGATAAAATAAAGCTAAGCAAAAGAAAGAAATGAGATCAATGCCATGGTTTTCATGCAATACCACCTCTCTGCTGTTGTTGTTAGAATCATAGAGTTGGAAGAGACCTCGTGGGCCATCCAGTCCAACCCCTGCCAAGAAGCAGGAAAAATCGCCTTCAAAGGACCCCTGACAGATGGCCATCCAGCCTCTACTTAAAAGCCTCCGAAGAAGGTGCTTCCACCACACTCTGGGGTAGAGAGTTCCACTGCTGGACAGCTTTTACAGTCAGGAAGTTCTTCCTAAAGTTCAGGTGGAATCTCCTTTCCTGTAGCCATGATTCCACGTCCTAGTCTCCAGGGCAGCAGAAAACAAGCTTGCTCCCTTCCCCCTATGACTTTCCCTCACATATTTATACATGGCTATCATGTCTCCTCTCAGCCTCCTCTTCTTCAGGCTAAACATGCCCAGGTCTTTAAGCCACTCCTCATAGGGCTTGTTCTCCAGACCCTTTATCATTTTAGTCGCCCTCCTCTGGACACACTCCAGCTTGTCAACCTCTCCCTTAAATTGCAGTGCCCAGAATTGGACACAGTGTGATTAAAGGTGTGGTCTCACAAGGCAGAATAGAGGGATAGCATGACTTCCCTGGAACTATACTCCTATTTATACAGGCCAAAATCCCATTGGCTTTTTAGCTGCTGCGTGATATTGTTGGCTCATGTTTAACTTCCTGTCCACAAGGACTCCAAGATCTTTTTCACATGTACTGCTGTCGAGCCAGGTGTTCCCCATTCTGTATCTTTGCATTTCATTTTTTCTGCCTAAGTGGAGTATCTTGCATTTGTCCCTGTTCAACTTCATTTTGTTAGCTTTGGCCAATCACCTCTCTAATCTGTTAAGATTGTTTTGAATTCTGCTCCTGTTTTCTGGAGTGTTGGTTATCCCTCGCAATTTGGTGTCATCTGCAAACTTGATGATCATGCCTTCTAACCCTTCATCTAAGTCATTAATAAAGATGTTGAACAGAACCAGACCCAGGATGGAACCTTGCTTATGGCACTCTACTTATCTCTTCTTTCGAGGATGAAGAAGCATTGGTGAGCACCCTCTGGGTTCGTTCGCTTAACCAATTACAGATCCAACTAACCGTAGTTTTGCCTAGCCCACATTTGACTAGTTTGTTTGCCAGAAGGTCATGGGGAACCTTATCAAAGCCCTTACTGAAATCCAGGTACACTACATTCACAGCGCTCCCTGCATCTACCCAGCTTGTAGCTCTATTGTGAAAAGAGATCTGGTTAGTCTGGCATAACTTCTTGTTGTTGTTGTTGTTGTTGTTGTTGTTGTTGTTGTTGTTATTATTTTACTGCCCTATCAACGAAAGTGTACTGTAAATATACTGGAAAGAAGCTCAATCTATACTTGCTGCAAACCTCATTAATTTAAATGGAACTTATTTTCAAGTCACAGGCAAGAACCCAGCTCTTTCTGGTCTTGTTTCTTGAAACATAATTCTGTTAATCATTAAAACAAATCTCTAAATGGGCCCTATTTCTAAGCAAGAAGTATTTTGAGGTTAACTTTTCCCAGAACTGTACTTTATGGACTATTAAATCTGCACATAACACACACTCATTGTTCACCCTCTGTGTTTGTATGCACTCCGCTTATATTCATACAATCCCCTCTATGCCCTGATTATTAATTACATCGATTTTCAAAGGAACAGAATTCATCAGTCATTTCTACTATACCTCACGAATCCAGTCATCTTCCTCCAGCTGCTTGAAAATTCTCTCCACAGAATCACTGACTGATTCATTCCGAACGCCATCGTTTTTTACATACCAACAGCAATTCTGATATAACTTGTATTTAAAATGCTTCAAATTGTGGTAAACACGGGTGCGGCTTGCACATGTTGTTCCAATCTTTAATGTCTATATCAAAAGATAAGCTGTTTTAGTGGGCACGCTTTGGACAATAATGAGAAAGGCAATTATTTCATCAGTTATGAATCTGATATCAAATAGTCCAATCCCATGTCAACAAGTTTTTTAAAATCAGTATCCACATGATAGCAGCTCCAAATCTTCTCATTACTGCAAGGCAATATTAGTGCCAATTGATTCATTGCTTTCTTTCTTGCGATGCTATGGCTCGCAATTGAGAATGCCATCGAGTGATCACCTGTTTTAATCAGTTGAAAAGCTGGTGCTGCTGGGGCTGACGGAAGGTTTAAATGATAAATTAAAAGGATGAGAATTTTTTGTAGGCATCCATGTAATACCTGAAGTCATAAAGCATACCCTGTTCAGCACTGGCTGAATTTTAAAAAGCCCAGTTATGGAAAATAAACATGACAAATCTTGGTTTATACAGTAGAACAGTCACACCAGTGTAAATTTAAAGAGTCACTTCACTTTCGAAAACTGAGGAATTCAAAATTAGGAGCCCCACAGGCATAGCAACCTACTTAAAATTGTACATATGCGCCACAGATGTTAACACACGATTGGAGTTTGACGAAATGTTGCTTTCAGGTTCTCACATTACTAAACTATCAGTCTCCAGAGTGCACCAATTTAGCTCCCATGTTTAAGTTACTTATTTCTACACATCTAAACAAAAACCAGCACTTCTATTAAGAAACAGAAAAATGAGAGATTACTTATACGTATTTAAAAAGGCCCACTGTTTTGATTAAGGTGAGCTCTAGCACTGCAAACTTTTGAATTCAGCTCATTAGGATCTTAAGGACAGATTCTAGTATAAATATTAAAATCACATAATCCAAAATCGTAAACTGTAGCCATTCCAATTGTCATTGCACATAGTTCCTAATTATTCATTAATGGCCAAAGCTTGGTCCCATAACTATGTCTTTGCTTTCTTTCTGAAGGCCAGGAGAGAGGCCCTAATCTAATCTCAGTGGAGAGGGAGTTCCAGAGCAGAGGAACTACCGTTGAGAAGGCCCCGTCTCTTTTCCCCACCAACAGCACTTGTGAGGGAGGTGGGACCGAGAGCAGGGCCTTCCCAGAATATCTTTACCTCCATGATGATTCATAGCAGGAGATACATGCAGACAGGGTAAGCTGGACCAGAACCATTTAGGGCTTTATAGATTAAAGCCAGCACTTTCAATTGTGCTTGGTAACAGACTGACAGCCAGTGGAACTGACGTAACGGAGGGTTGTGTGCTCCCTGTATGCTGCTCCAGTGAGAAATCTGGCTGCTGCTCGTTGGACCCCTTGAAGCTTCTGAACAGTCTTCAAGGGCAACCCCATGTACAGCGTGTTACAGTAATCGAGTCTTGATGTAACAGGAGCGTGGACCACTATGGCCAAATCTGACTTCTCAAGGTATGGGCATAACTGGTGCACAAGTTTTAACTGTGCGAAAGCCCCCCGGCTACCGCTGCTTGAGGTAGCCGGCTCAGTGAGTTCCAGGCTCAGTGATGAGTCCAGGAGAACCCCCAAGCTGCGAACCTGGACCTTCAGGAGGAGTGTAACCTCATCCAACCCTAACCCTATACCCTGTTCTTCCTTTCAACTGACCAGGAGTACCTCTGTCTTGTCTGGATTCAATTTCAATTTCTTCGCCCTCATCCAGGTCATCACAGCTGCCAAGCACCAGTTCAGGACCTGAACAGTCTCCTTAGTGGCAGATGGAAAGGAGTGATAGAGTTGTATGCCATCTGCATACAGATGACATTGAACCCCAAAACTCCAGTCAATGGTACATGCACACATTTTTTAAACATTAGAAAAATCTATGCCTCAGTCTTTATTAAATGAACAAGGCTCAAAGGAAACCATCAGAACTATCAACAAGAAGCAAAGCACTTTAGTTTTGTAGTTCTGCACAGCTTTGGGACTTACAAACACGATTTACCTGTTTATCCTGTGACATGAAGTCGTCTAATTCCAGTGTTTCATTATCGTACAATTTTCCTGATAGAATTACTGTATATTTGCAGTACCTCTGGAGTTCACAGGCTTGACAAGAACGTTTCACCGCTCTCCCCATATTTATGAAGACAACAGGATAACTATCCACGCGTTCCTGGAAAATAATATTGGGTTGGGATTCTGTTTGCCTTTTGTTCCACTGATTCAGCTACTGAGTTCTTAGAAGTACTAATTCAGATGCAAATGACTTTAGTCACTTTTACTTATTCCCATAATGTATTTTCACTTACTGTTGAATTACAGCTCCCCTACCTACTTAGTCAATGGTGAAAGGAACATGGCAGTTTTAGTCCTTACCATCTGGGCATTCACTCATTCCTTTTTGCTGATATAAATAAAAACCTATTTACAATTATTACCACCCCCCCCCCTCGAAAACATATTCTGATAGAATCAAGTTTTGTTTACTGGATATTCTTTGGGTTCTTCATGGACAGTTTCAGAACTCATAGGTACTTCATAATTACAAGGAATATCTGAGCAACTATGGATCTTACTCTCCTGTACGACTGGCAATGTTATACACTTCTATACGCTAAGTAAAGCCCTCACTACCCAGATATGTATTAAAGACATGCGTTTGAAAATGGTTAACATTCAACAATTGAGAGCATAATATGGGACTGCATGTACACATGGCATGGTTATGTATAGATGGGAGTTCCTGCACATATCCAAATCCTTCTTTTTCATGTCAGAGAGAAGTCCACATGGGGAAAAGAGGGCAAGTATGGAACTGCTTCCATCAGTCAAAAAAATGCAAGGTCCGTGACCATCTTTGAATGTTATCCAGGAAGTCTCTACTTATTTGATAGATTTGTCAAAACGGCAGGCTTGTGAACTAATCTAGCATCTGGAGGGCCCCATGTCATTTTATGTGGCCCTCCAGGTGCTAGACTACAATTCTAGAGCTGGTAGGAGTTGTGATACAGTAACATCCGGAAGGCTGCCATTGGTTCTGTTTAGTCAGGACAGTGAGAGCCGTTCAGCAGTGGAACTCCCTGCCCCGGAGTGTGGTGGAGGCTCCTTCTTTGGAAGCTTTTAAACAGAGGCTGGATGGCCATCTGTCAGGGGTGATTTGAATGCAATATTCCTGCTTCTTGGCAGGGGGTTGGACTGGATGGCCCATGAGGTCTCTTCCAACTCTTTGATTCTATGACTCTATGATTCTATGGGGGTTGGAGTTAGATACAAGACTTGTGGGTACGATGTCTGACCTTAAAATGTCCTTTCACCTTCCCCCAACCTCAGAGCCACAAGTGCTGATGGGTTGCAATTCTCATTAACCCCAATCCATATAGCAGATAATCAAAAGTGATGGGAGTTATCATTCAACAACATATGGGGAAAAACTAACAAGCACCAACCACGATGTAAAAAATATATATAGTTGGTCCTCTATCTATGAATTCAATGGCCTTTCAAAGGCAACCATAAGGCTGAGGTGGCCCTCGATGAAAATGAGTTTGACAACCCGAGATTGGGATTGGACCCATGTCAGAAATTAGAGTTGGTTGAAAAATGGAAACCAGGGGTCTTTAGCCTGCAAATGCAAGACTAAACATCCAATGGCACTGAGTTCACTGAGAGGGGGAAACAAAACCCAGTAGCATGGCTAAAAGGAACAGTGGTTGAAACAGCAAAACAAGGATTGAAAGAACAGAATGAGGCTTTAATTTAGGTCTGTTAAACAGTGAGTAGAATGTCAAAAAGTGACTTGTTGAAAAGTGGAAGAATTGGGTGTTCTGTGGTTTCTGGGTAGTTTGGAAGCCTTCGACAATACAGTGGAGTAATGTCTTTACAAATATTATGGAGTTGACCTAAACTCAGTTGATCCAGGGATGGGTTTGTCAATCTTTACATCAATTTAAAAAGTCCCACCTATGCCAATCAATAAACTCAGGTCAATTTGGGAGTCCAATCTATGTTCTCCCACCTTCAGGAGTATAGAATGGGACAATAAAATACCATACAATTACAGTAATCATCACACATTTTGGTGCCTCAAATGTTAGACCTGTTTCTGGGTATATTTGACCTGCTGCTTTCAAAAATGGCACTAGTTTTCCCTTCTGAGCTGTAGTTTTTGAGATACAGAACACATGGCATCTGCCAGTCGCCATCTGCTCGGCTATAAAGAATCATGATAACCATGTCTAAGAAACTAGAACTGATATGGTCGATCCAATACAATTTTCTGAATCAGTGCCCCACATAACTCCAGGAACAGACCTTAAAACCAGCTGTGTTATGGTTCTTCAACTTTTGAAAATACTTCTGAGGAAAATTATTCCAGCTCCTTTAATGTCAACCTTTTAGATGACTAATGAAGGGGACAAGCATAAACTGGAATTATATACATTTTAATGGAATGCTTATTTTTTATCTGAAGAACTTCTTCATCAGTGCTACCACCTTTTATATTTTTTTACATTTTTAATTTTTTGATTACATTTTTTGTACATAACTAAATTACAGGGCCATTTGAACTAACATATGAAATAAGAGCACCATGACAATATCTTAGTACCTTGTAGCGTTCTTTCCAGCGACTTCTACCGAGTAAATTTTCAAGGCGAGGTTGAATAAAATGGTCATCTAAGTAATGAAGTGAGTTTAGCATCTCTTTTGCATATTTCTTCTCCCCTTCTCCCTCTATTAGATTATTTAAAAACAATGAAATTCTTGTAAGAACGTTGTTTATCTTTACATATTCATTTGAAAATCAAAAATATCACAAAAGTTTGTAAGAAAATGCAACAAGCTTCTTAATAAAAATGCTTTGCTTACTGTATAATGAGCTCAAAAAGGTAGCATCAAATGCATTTATCAGAAAAGACTTTACAACTCTCTGGAAATGGATGAAGTGGTCAACACGAATCACTGTTAAAAAAGAGAAAACAATTATTAGTTTAATAATCCAGCTATGAATATCGTAGGAGCCATTGTGATGGAGGGGTTTGAGCATTGGACTATGATTCTAGAAATGAGGGTTGAAATCCTCATTTGGCCATAGAAATCCAGAGTGGCTTTAAGCAAAATACTCTCTTTCAGCCTCTGGTCTCATCTATACTGCCATATAATGTATCGTATTTTCCAGAGTACAAGACAACTGGGCGCATAAGACAACCCCCAACTTTTCAAGCTAAAATATAGTTAGGGATATACTCGCCGTAGAAGACCCCTCTTCCAATTCAATTTTATTGATTCAGTAACTACGACTCCTAGAATGCCTCAGTGGACACATCCAAGGCACGCTGCTGCCCGGAGCTGCTGGGAGTCGTAGTCTGAAGGCGCTTCCTTGGACCTGGGTGAGCCTGGTGACCTTCGGAGGCTTCTGCCAGCCGCTCAGGTGGCTTTGCTTCCTTCCTCTCTCTCCTGGCTGCCAGCAAATAGCAAATGTGGGAGGATATGGAGGGCCATGAAAGTAGAGAAGGGAGGTTGGTGGTGGGGACAAGTCCCTAAGCGGCATGGCCTGAGGAGGAGGGAGGAGGAGGAGTGCAGAGGGAGGGTGCGGAGAGGAGGAGTGCCAGGCCCACTGAGCTGCCCCCACCGCTCTCCCTGCTCTACTTTCAAAGCCCTTCTCCAACTCCTGCAATATTGCCATTTCCAGGCAGCCAGAAGAGAGAGGGAGGAATCAAGTCCACCTGATTGGCTGGCAGAAGCTTCCGAAGGCCACCGGGCTCACCTAGGCCCAAGGAAGCTGATCGAGTGGACTTGCTTCCTTCCTCTCTCCTGGTCGCCTGCAAATAGCAATGTGGGAGGAGTACAGGCAGAGTTTTTCAGCCCTTTTTTAAGGCTGAAAAAGCCCACCTCGGCTTATTCTTGAATCAAGGTAAAGGTAAAGGTAGTCCCCTGACATTAAGTCCAATCATGTCTGACTCTGGGGTGTGGTGCTCATCTCCATTTCTAAGCCGAAGAGCCAACGTTGTCCGTAGACACCTCCAAGGTCATGTGGCCGGCATAACTGCATGGAGTGCCATTACCTTTCCGCCGGAGCGGTACCTATTGATCTACTCACATTTGCATGTTTTCGAACTGCTAGGTTGGCAGAAGCTAGGGCTGACAGCGGAAGCTCACGCTGCTCCCCGGAATCGAACCTGCAACCTTTCGATCAACAAGCTCAGCAGCTCAGTGCTTTAACTCACTGCGCCACCGGGGGCTCCCCTTTGAATCAAAGTTATTTATTATTTTACTCTGTTATTATTTTTATTACATTTATTATTTTACTCTATTTTATTATTACATTTATTATTTTACTCTCTTTATGATTATTGGAAGACTACGTAAGCAAAGCACATTTACATTGAAGAAGGTTATAATAATATGTTAATAAGAGTTGGACAGTCTTATCTTAAATTACCATTTTATGCAAATATTCAAGAACATTTAACCTACTGATGTTTCAGTTAATATAATTTTATTGGTGTCTATTTTTATTTTGAAATTTACCCGTAGCTGCTGCATTTCTCATCCTCGGCTTATATTGAATCAATATCTTTTCCCAGTTTTTTGTGGTAAAATTAGGTACCTTGGCTTATATTTGGATTGGCTTATACACGAATATAAACGGTATGTGATAGGTTTGTCTTCAGATTGCCTTAAGTCAGATATAAGGAGCTGGGCATGTTTAGCCTGAAGAAGAGAAGGCTGAGAGGAGATATGATAGCCATGTATAAATATGTGAGAGGAAGCCACAGGGAGGAGGGAGCAAGCTTGTTTTCTGCTTCCTTGGAGACTAGGACGCAAAACAATGGCTTCAAACTACAAGAAAGGAGATTCCATCTGAACACGAGGAAGAACTTCCTGACTGTGAGAGCCGTTCAGCAGTGGAACTCTCTGCCCCGGAGTGTGGTGGAGGCTCCTTCTTTGAAAGCTTGTAAACAGAGGCTGGATGGCCATCTGTCAGGGGTGATTTGAATGCAACATTCCTGCTTCTTGGCAGGGGGTTGGACTGGATGACCCATGAGGTCTCTTCCAACTCTTTGATTCTATGATTCTATAACCTAAAAGCACACAATTACAATAATAATGGTGATCACACTGTGGATTTATGGAAGAATCATATATAATTTCCTTTGTGGATATAACAGAAGTATGATAGGACTCTACTGTCAGAAATATAGTATTGCCTTTACCAGCTGATTGCAAACTTACTGTCTGGAATATGCTTTTCCAACAAGGAGCGTTGCTCTCTCATTTGCGGCTGGCTTTCATCCTCAGAGCTTTCCTGTTCTAACCTGTCACCCTCCTCTTCCTCGTCCTCCACAATGAAATCTTTCATACTGTCATCATCTGACGCGTCGCTGAGTTCAGCTTCTGAGAGGGATGAATGGTGAGACTCATCTAGCATTGTCGCATCATCTTCATCAACCTAGTCAAAGTGAAAAGTAAAAAAAAAAATCTTCTTTCAAACTTTTGTGGAAATTAACTAGTATTTGTATTACCATATGTACTGGAAAGTACTTGTCATGGAAAGTCATGACCCTCAAACCCAACCTGTGACACACATGCTCGCTTTCACCAACAGTAGAATCACAGTCTCAGATAAAAGGGTGATTTCCAAGCTAAGAAAGTTTATCAAATTTGGACTACCGTAGTCACAAGCCTGTCTTCAATGGGGTTGTTGTCATAACGATCCATAAGCCAATTCAAAATCAATCCCTGGTTGGAGAATGGATTAAGTATGTAAGTTACAAGAAATACATCATGTTCCAATTTTTAAATTTTAACATTTTCCAAAAAACTTCATAAACTTTTCAGTTGTAATGGTGTTGTTATGCAAATTCAAAGTTATACCTTATGACAGTCACTGTTGCTAAAAGTTCGAGTAGATCGTTGTTGGCACAGTTCCTGAAGTTTCATTAGTCTGTTTTGTTTTCTGTTCGCTATTTCTTCTGCAGGCAACATATGTTGCTCCTGGTCAACAGGCGAGTCTTCCTCATCCAGAATGCACCTGCGTTTAGCAAAAACCTTCCTAACAATACCACTGCCATCACTGTCGTCACTGTCATACATGACAGATGTCCGAACTCTCTTATTCTTTCCAAAATTGATGCTTTCTTCTGCTTCTTCTATGCCATCAAAATCTGTGTCACCACCTTGAGGGCTACCTGCATTATCTATGGTATCACCTTTACTCTGGTTAAGAATGGATTTATCTTTTTCATTTTCATCTACAACTTCATCTTTACTATGGTTAAGAATGGATTCATCTTTTCCTTTTTCATCCACAGCTTCATCTTTACCCTTGTTATGAAAAGATTCACCGTTTTCTTTTTCGCCACCGTTTTTTTCTTTACTCTCATTAAGAATGGATCCATCATTTTCTATGCCTTCCACATCATCTTCTGAACTTGTTTCATTTTCCGATGATAAAGCACTTTCGTGCTCTTCTTCGCTATCAAGCAATGTGGAACTTCTCTTAGTGCGCCGCCAGTCAACCCGAGATCGGGCAATAGGTTTTTCTGCTCTGGTGCTTCTCCTTGTTTCATATCTTCTACTTACAGAATTCGTTTCCATAAGGGCTACAAAATTAGAAAAATATTAAATTGTGAATTCGAACTATGAACTTCATATATTCATATTTTTAAACGTTTACAAAATATTATTATAGTTTCCACAATGAAACAAACTTTTCTAAACAGTGGTAAGTGCATCCAATCCATATTGCTGCAAATTGTCTAAATTGAGCAGTAGTAAAAGGACTATTAATGATACTCTGCTTACTCCTGCCTATACTATTTAGTAAGAGCCTTTCTAAGCAAAGTATATTGCAAAATAAACCTCATTTTAAAAGGCTTGCCCAATATATAATAAGTCAAAGGAATTTGACAAAAATATGCAACGCAAAAGTAAGACCTTGACACAAATCTTTAAAATCCAAAACTGATTTGTCAGTTTTGAGTATCAAGTGAGATAGATATTTGTAAAAATGTGTATCATATACAGCTATGAAACTTATGAAAGTAAACATTGAGAACACTGTTCTCTACATCTTTTGTGGAGAGAAAAAGCAGGGTATGAATAAACATAAATTGTTTCAGATCATGCAAGTCTTTTGTTTTCTGAAACCTGCAGCCTTCAAAGTGAAAGTTCAGAGTAACATTCTATAATCTTTCACAAACTGTTATTGAGCAAAGGAAACTTGAGTCATGCTGTTATTCTCAGGAATATATTCATTAGTGGAATGCAACAAGACACGAAAAAATAAGGTTCAAACAGTAACTGAGACAAAATTAACAATCAGAAATGCATCCTGAATATTTAGGAAGCCCAGCAGGCAGTAATTAGGATAATAACTCCCTATTTTTATATATATTTGTGAAAGATGGACTATAAAGACAGCTGAAGAGAAGAAAATCAATGTACTGATACCTGAAATGTACTGATACCTGGTGTTGGAAGAGAGTGAAATGGATACTTAGTCAGGTTGGAAGTGTTATAGAAGTCAAGATCGCTAACCTGAAACTGCCACACTTTGGTCATAATCGTAGAATCATAGAAAGACCACAAGGGTCATCCCGTCCAACCCCACTCTGCCATTCAGGAAAACACAATCAAAGCATTCCTAATAGATGACTATCCAGGCTCTGCTAAAAAACCTCCAAAGCAGAGTCCACCACAATGAGACACCAGAGCACCTCCATGCCATTAGTTGAAGAATGCAAAACATATGGGGACCCAACATGGGAGACTGGTAATTTGGGCCTAGCCTGGGAAGAAGCTGATAATGAGAAAAAGCTTAGACTGGGATGAAGCTGGTAACGAGAAAAAGCTTAGAAATTGCTTGAACTGAAGGGGTGGAGTTCCAGGGGGGTAATGATCTGAATATTTGCCTGAGTTTTCTTTAGTTGTAACTTTATGCAATGGTGGCAGAATCTTGATAGCAGTCAAAGGCACTCACAAGAGATTCTTGGAAATACCTTTAATGCTAGGTTACTACACCACAGCACTTATCAATGTATGTTAAGAACTCAGTTTCCAGTTTACTGAAAGTCTTCAAACATCTTGAGAACTTCCACCTCATTAGATGATTCTCATGGCTTATTATGTCCTCAGGGTAACAGTTTTGAAAATTTCTGCTTTGAAACCTTCTGTGCATCACATTTTCAGGAAGAAGTAATACTGGCTGTAAGGAAGCGTAATCCCACCTAAATGGGATTACCAAAATTAAGTAAATATGTATGTTAATCCACCTAATTTCAGCATAAATTATAAGGAAGTCCCAAAACTGCTTGATCACACTGCCACCATTATATATATATAGAGACGTTGGAATTGAAGTCTCTATTTATCCCTATCTGCGTTGTGAGGCAACTTTGGTAGAGTGGATTGCACCAAATGTAAAATCAATGGAGGAGGCAGATTTATAACACAGAGAGAACAAGTTTATTGTCAACAGAGCGTAATTGTTGCAATACTGAGATGTTGAACTTGGCACAAGCTTGATGGTTACAATATGGCTTGGTAGAGATACATTCAGGCTTCTGATGTTACAATCCTTTAAACTCCTTCTTCAGTGAAGTACTTTATTATTTCAGTGTTCCCTGTTGTGAATATTCACTCTGTTTGTCCTATACCGGATCAAACCACTGATCTCCAGTCTTTCACTACTGGGATCCCTAAAACCCCCTTTGTTAGATTCTTTTTAACACAAGCAATCTAACAAGGTTTCACCTTCAGCTCCCTTGCTGAAGAAATATTCACAAATGCTAAGAACTAACTGAATCTATACTGCTTCACCACACAGAGCCCTAACTGACTCCGCTCCTCTTCTCAGGGTCTCATCCTCCTGACTGCCCATTAACTGTTACTTTCAAACCTTTTTCTCCTTAAGCTCCGCCCACCTTCTCTTCTGCCTTGTCACCATGGCAACCTATCTCTCACAGCTAGGCCATGGCCACGCATGTAAAACATAAATACAGTTTAAACACAGTACAATAAACCCTTTATAATAAACACTTCTCTACACCTTCCCCAGAAAAAGTATTTTTGAACCATTCTCAATCCTAGAATGGCAAAAATAATTCCACATATTAGTCAACAATAAATACATACACCAATTCTGAAAGGAAAACATATTATGGTTAAGTACATTTTAATTACACATATATACAAACCTTTAACCTATGGAATCCTAGATAAGGCGTCCGCAACTATATTTCGTTTACCTGAAACATGTTTCATTTCAAATATAAAATCTTGTAAACACAAACTCCATCTTAACAATTTGTTATTTGTATCTTTTACATTGTCCAGCCACCGTAATGGAGCATGGTCTGTTTGTAAGGTGAACTTCCTACCCCATAAATACGGTTTTAGTTTCTTAACGGACCAGATAATGGCATAGCATTCTTTTTCAATTGTTGACATACTATACTCATTAGAATGCCATTTCTTACTTAAAAACAATATAGGTCTGTCTTCTCCTTCTATATCTAGTTGGCTTAGGACAGCTCCTAGCCCAGTATCTGATGCATCACACGTTAAAATAAAAGGCTTGTCAAAATCTGGTGCCATTAGGACAGAATCTGAAGTAATGGATTCCTTCAATTGATCCAAATTTTGTTGTACTGCTCACGATCACCCTCCCAAAAAGAAAAGGGACCGGATTCCTCTTCCGAAACAACAAAACATACATTCGCAGACCTTACAACATAAGGCTTTAACATGTTTACATGGACTCTTCTTTCTACATTGGAATGTTCATCAAAAATGTCATAGTTTATCTGGCTGTGCTTTCTGATTATCTTCCAGGGTCCAGACCAATCCAATTGAAGTTTGTTGGTTTTGCTGGGAGACAAAAACAAAACTTCATCTCCGATGTTAAAAATCTTTGGTTTAGCAGTAGAGTCATAATAGTCTTTTTGTCTCTGCTGAGCCGCAAGCAAATGTTCTTGAGCAATGTCTCTAGCTAGCTGCATTGTTGCTTGAAGATCTTTAAATACTCCGTCACTGGAACTGGATCTGTCGCCGGACTTTCTTCCCAATATTCTCTTATCAAGTCTAGCGGACCACGAGCTTTCCTTCCATATACCAATTCAAATGGACTGTAGCCAGTGCTGTCATGAGGGACGGTCCTGTAGGCGAATAACAATTGTTGCAATTTGACATCCCAGTCGTATGGTTTCTCTTGACTATAAGACTTTATCATTTTGACTAAAGTCTTGTTCATATTTTCAACCAGTCCATTTGTCTGTGGATGATATGCCGTTGAAGTCAGGTGTCTAATTCCACATAACTCAAGCAATTTCGACATAAGCCTGGAAGTAAACTGGGTTCCCAAATCCGTAACCAATTCTCTAGGATAACCAGTTCTTCCCCAAATAGATAACAGGGCATTTGCAATTGTTGTTGTTTCGATGTTAGTCAGAGCTACAGCTTCTGGGTATCTTGTGGCGTAGTCAATCATGGTTAAGATGTATCGGTAACCACGTCTACTTGGTTTACAAAGAGGACCCACTATATCAATGCCTACTCTGTAAAATGGTTCTCCAATTATTGGCATAGGAATCATACGAGCTTTAACTTTATCCCTTCCAGTACTCAATCTCTGGCAGATGTCACAAGATTGGCAAAATTCTTTGATCCTCTGGAACATTCCAGGCCAATAAAAATTCTTAGTGATCCTCCTCGTGGTTTTCCTCACACCCAAATGTCCACCTTGAGGGTTCTCATGTGCCACCCTCATCAGCTGCTCTCTAAAACCTTGAGGTACTACAATTTGACTATATGCCACTGATCCTTCTGTCAAGTTTACCCTTCTGGTTTCTCTATATAAGACACCATTTTTCAGCACAAACTCGGAGGGCTGTTCTCTCGCCGATACTGTGGGGTTTTGAGCCAAAGCAAACAGAGGTTTAAGAGAATCATCAGCTCCTTGTTCCTGCCGAATCTCTTCAACTCCTCCTGTCTTCTTAACAAGCTCAGCAACTGTAGCACTGGATTCCGGACTCTCATCCTCATCTTGTTGTATGGCAAAACACAGGGCTTTTTGTTCAGGGCTCTCGTTGTTACATTCTTTCTCCTCACACACCATCCCCCAGCTCTCAATCTTCTCAGCCAAATCATTTCCAATTAAACAATCGTATGGTATGTCAGGACTAACTGCAAAGTCCCACATACCCTTCCATCCTTCATATTCTATTGGCAAAGTCACTACTGTGGTTGGTATCGCAGGTCCTAAACCTTTTAATTTTATTTCAGAGGTTGGCTGCTGAAATTTCTGAGGGATTATTTCGGGATGCACTACACATATTTCGGAACCTGTGTCTCTGAGTCCTTTCCTGTCTTTGTTATCAATACTGATGGTTTCTAAGTAGTCCTTAAATGGGCTGCCTGACAAGATGAACAAACATTGTTTCTCTTGAGGCTCTGAGCCTGAACTCTTCTTTGAAACAGTATCTAGTTCTGCCTGTGGTGTTTCCTTCATTTTATTCACAAAAAGGGTTGTTTTCTCTTTCCTTAACAGGGGACATTGATACTTTATATGATCCAATTTTCCACATTGAAAGCACCGTTTTTT